GCGTTAAACAAGAAACAGATATAAATGGACAGCATTTCAGATTAGAACACACAATATTTAAATGACAATATTCCCAGACCAGACACTAATTTTGATATATCTGTCTATGAGCATATGGGGTGACTTTGTCAATTCATATGGGTCGGATGGAGATACTTCTTGACAGGTGGACAGAGAAGCATGTACATGCTTGTGTGTTTTAGGGCACTGGATCGATCGTGGTGTCTGAGTACCAGGACATTCGTAGAGTGGGGGTCTGGATGTAGGGCACCAAGTCTGATTGGGAAATCTTTGTATCTGGTCCCTTTAATAGTAAAGGACAGGCCTTCTGGTTCACAGCTAATTTGGTCTTTGCTCACAGAAAATGAGGCCCGGACTCTGCCAGGACAGTTCATTTTTCCCCCATGTCTCAGTAGAGGACATGTCCAGTCCTACACAGGGGGCCGTCAACTCCTGCCTACGCAAGAATGACCTCTGACCTCTGTTCAGCATCCCTCTCAATTACCCACTGACCCTTCCTGTCATAGCAGCACAGACTGCTGGGTAATACACCAGCTTCCCAGACACGTTTAGCAGGATATGATCTCAGGGGGGCGAAGGATCGTCCCGTAGAGTAAAATGTTTCGCTTGAAACTGTGTGAAATCTTCAAGGACTACCTTATTTTCACATCATCATGCAAAACTCGACCTTGTTAAAGGAACATTGACGTTTTATCTGCATTGAGCTACGTGAAACTGGATATTGATGGGATATTAATCATAAGGTTTTTGGAAGCTCACAAAATCAAACTCTCGGTTTCTATCTGCTCACACAATCAGGCATGTCTTTCTTCCCATGTACACTTTTACGCTCTCTCATTATCACTTTTATTCCCGTCCTTCTCAGTGCCAATTAGATCTGAACAGGCTGGCTGTGGCCCGACATTTGACCTTTGACCTGTGCCTGCTGGACGGGTGAACTCCTGAGTTTGTTCTGGCAACTGGGTTCCTAGTGATGGATGCCGGGGCCTGAGTAACTCTGACCTTGTTCGGTTTGGCCATCGAAGGGTCATGGTGAAAGAGACGACATTTTTAACAAAGAGCTTTGATTTGTTGTCATATGCGTGGGTCTCTGCGGGCAATGTTTGCTAGCGTTTTCTCCATTCATTAAGGAGGGTTCACCTCAGGTCGAGAAGAGGCAAGGCACGATCCTTCCAGACCCAACTTGTGCTGCCGAAACGTCACTGTACTTTGCGAAGAAGAGCAGATGACAAAACAGGTGACGTGAGGAGCAGAAATGGAGGAAGAAGGATTGAAATAGGAAGAACGAGGCATTTTTAAAATATCTCCCTGACGCAGTACATGCTTTTACCTGTTATGTCAGTACGTTCTACACTAGCTCAAACTCTATAGCACTCGGCTAATTAAAAACATTGCTCTTCTTAATTATTCAGCTGCAGCTAATTGATATTCAGCAAGACACTCTTCCTTCTAAACGACCCGTTTAATTTGACCATGGGGTCTGCTGCGCTGATGCCGAAGTCATCCTGCCGTGCGAGAGCGGAGATTGTGTGGGAAGAGTCGAGCTCGCAATTAAAACAAAGATTTTTGACGTATTATATCTACGTTTTTTTTTTTTGGAAAGAGCTGGAGGAAATGCAGCCTATCTGTTGCTTTGGGCCGTGCTGAATTCTCACTTAGCAGATCCAGAATGATAAATGTCACTGGGCATGTTTTTATTGCTCGTTTTACAAAAGATACCTTTGTTGATAGTGCTGGTTGTGTCTTTAAAAGAATAGTTTAGATTATAGTCAACTTAATGCCTATCTTTGGCACACTGGGTGTCTGGCTTGTCCATTTATGTGTATAAACGAATAGGAATTGCATTTATAGTTATTGTATTTTTGTTGAAGCACTTAATAGCACTCAGTGTAAGCTTTAGATTGAAAATAACCCGAATTGAGTCACGCCATCAAAGTTTTTGTTATAATGGGTGTGAGTGGGCGACAAAACAGCACACATTTTTTAACAGGTCGTATAATAAGAAATCAAATTTTCATTGACCTTTTGAAGTAACATAGTTAATCGTATTCTGAAATCATGTAACTTTCAGAACTCAAAACTTTTTTCACTCGGAAAAAAAAAGCTGCAAAAACAACTCGTTCTGAACTACTGACACAAGTCAGATGAGTACATGGAGCACAACTTCCCACATTCACAACAACACATCAACAATGTCTATTTGGTATTCAAAACTTGGCACACACAGTCACTGTGAAGTGATGAGGTTTAATTTGGAGTATTATTCAGATGCTGGAAAATCTTTAAAGAAATTATAGGAAATAACGCCAAACTTTTTGCTGTGTGTAGCACCTGCAACTCTGCATATACTAATGTTGGAAACTGGGCCCAGAATGAACATCATCAACCGCCAAATGTGATGTAAAAATTTGATGTAGCTAATACGGCCAGTAGCTTTTCAGAAATATAATTCTGAACATAATAGATGGCTCGAATCAAATCACTAAAATACAAGACAATAAAAGACATACAGATCTAGTAAAGGGTGTCTTCTAATTGGGCCTGAGGGAAAAAAAAAACAGTGGTTGTTTCTCTTCGAGCTCATTTCTCTTCTGATGGGGAGTCATCAGTTTGTTTCTTTATAGAACAGCGGGATTGCAGTTTGCTGTGGGTCTCTCTCTGTCTCTCTCTCTCTCTCCATCCGGACACATGTCACGAGAGGTGTGACATCTTGTATGATAAATCACTCTCATTGTCCTCCCTCCCATCCTCCCTGTCTCTTGTTCTCAATGTTTGTAGTTTCACTTACATTTTTCAGCCTCCCATCCCACTCCCTGTTCTTCATTAGCTGGATAATAGCGAGCATATTGGTCATGTGACTCAGGGGCCTTTGTTAGCAGTGTTATGTGATTAAATGACCTGCAGGAGACTGAATGAGTGTGATGTGATGGAAATAATCCTGACAGCCTGTGTGACTGAGCGACGGAGGGCTGCCATATGCTCTCTATGATGCGTTGAATGAGAGGGAAAATCCCTGCGCGCACATCGGTGGCAGCGCCTCCCTGTTCTTTAATTGCTCATTGGATACGCTTTCACTGCGTTTACCTACTGGTCTGTGAATGCAGCTGCTCTGTGTGTGTGCTTGTGTGCTGAAGGTCAATAACGGTAGCTGCATTTCTTTCCATAGAAAATTTGGAGCTGTAATGTCTCCTTGACTGATTACCCACAATGCTTCTCGCCCACGCAAGGACCTTGATTGGCTCACAGACTTGAATGTGTCTGTGTGTACGAGTGAGTGCTGGATGGGAACAGTGCAGAGGTCAGATTTATTCTGCCAGAGGGTTGGACCGTTTCTGTCGAGGGCTGTGGGTGTTTTTGGAGAGCAGTTCTGTCCGTCTTAACAGCTGCAGCTGTGGGACTTGATTAAATGGCGGTTGTGTTGCTATTAAACCATGTTATACACGCTCATGTGTGTCATGGGCCACTCTAAACGTAAATGTAAAATCAAAACTGACCCTGTTTATTTTCTTAATGCATGTTATTTGTCTCATTGTGAACAATGTGCAAAAAATAAATAAATAAAATGATATCACTTAATATATAAAGTAATAATAGCCGCATAAACTATGTAGGCTATTAGATAATGCTAACCAATAGCCAGATATCTGTTTTGGGTTTATTTTTGCAATACATTCAGGCTTCATGCTGATAACTAATGGCCACCGTCCATTCAGATCTCAGTGGATAATTAGTCATTTTGGTGTATGTGTAAGAGGCTGTGTTATTTTAGTTTCATACAGAAAATATTACAGATATTTCAGTCATTTTTTAAATATTTTTTTAATTTTAATTTTAATTCATTTAATATTTTAATAACTTAGTTTTTTTGGTGTTTTTTATTTCAGTTTTAGTTATTTTAGTATATCAAGTTAACAGTAAGTTCACAGTAAACTAAAATAAATCAGAAATGTTGCTATGTCAACTAGTTGAAATAAAATAAATTTTTTCTATTTTATTTTATTTAACATTTATTTCAAGTAATGTAAATTCGTTTTTTTTTCTGTTTTAGTTCATTATAAAAACCCTGGTAAGGGGATGAAATGTCAAACTAGTGGTGTTTGCTTGTGGTTAAGGATATTTAAAAAATATTACACTTTGCTGCAGGGCTCTCGACGGACAAGAAATCACACACTTATTATTTGAAAATGTTGTTCTATTGCATATTTTATGATTTTGGATGAGCAACGCATTAAAATCCTGTAGACTTACATTGAAGGATGGAACCGAACAATATTTAGAGACCAAAATATCATAGATGCAACCATCTAGAAAACATAGAAACATACAAAAAACTAAAGCAAATCAGAATACCTTAGCAGTCACTTAAAAATGCCCTTGCAAAGACCTCTAAGGCCCAAGCAGATAGCAAACACCAATCTTCTATAGAAAAGTGTAGTTTAATAATGTCATGTGGTAATGTTACCTTTCCCGTAACAAAATGAATGAGAATTTTGTGTGTGAGAAGATGAAGAAGTTTAATTTTCTTTGGGATTATTAACACTTCTAAGTGACCTAGAAATCAAGGCAGACTTACCTGCGGGTTTATATATATTTGAGTCAGGGAGAAGTTCATCAGCGGCACAGGCCTCCATGAGCGCTGGAGTTAAGCTCTGATGGAGATCGCTCTGCTCTGATTAGATTTAGATTAGATCAGATTTTCAGGGTTTAGATTTTAGATGAGATTTGTTGCGAAGAGCTCTTCCTCACCTTGCGACAGCGTTTGATAACACAGAGCTGATCGTGCGGTCTCTGTGTCCCTGCACTACAGCAAACACCCCACTGCTTCACACTGCAGTTTGTGTGTGTGTGTGTGTGTGTGTGTGTGCGTGTGTGAACTTCAGCCTTTGAATACTGAATGTAATTATAGGAACTTCATCGTTAAATTGCTGTTCTCTCTCTCTCTTTCTTTATGTGCTTTTCTTTCCTCTCCCTCACTCCAGCAGATGGAGAGAAAGGTAAGGCATAAGAGGTTTGATTTATACATCCCATATCTGTCTCAACCTGCTTCCTGCTGCAGTACCGCATGCCTAAAAAGACTTTCTCTCTCTGTCCTTCTTTCTCTCTGTCTCTTTCTTTCTCTTTTTCTGTGATTTACTGCTGGCATTTTTTTTCTAATCATCATTTTTCTTTCATTTGATTTCCTGCCATTGTGTTTGTACACCAGCTAAGAATTTTTTTTCTCATTGTTGAGGCACTTTTGCCTATGAAATAAATTAATCATGGCTGAATGCGAATTGTTCTATCTGTAATTGAGAACTTTTGCATGATGCTGCAAACACGCTGCTACATGGTAGCATAAGTTCAAGATGACCAACACAAAATAATCCCCCAAAAAAAACTACAACTAAAGTGCACATTTTGTTTATTGGAAAACCCACCAGAATGTTAATAGTGATCTGATAAAGCAAATTACTGAAATATTATGTATTATTTGGTTAATATTTAGTATGTATTGAGTTGATAGCAGATTATTTATGCACACTTAAATATATATATAAATAAATATATATATATATATATATTTATATACAGTGGGGAAAATAATTATTTGATCCCCTACTGATTTTGTAAGTTTGCCCACTTACAAAGAAATGAAGGGTCTATAATTTTTATGGTAGGTTTATTTTAACGGATCGAGAGAATATCAAGCAAAAAATCCAGAAAAAAAAAACACTGTACAAAGGTTATAAATTGATTTGCATTTCAGTGAGTCAAATAAGTATTTGATGGTTTCTTTTATACTCATAACAAGATGACATTAGGAGTAATTTCTTAAAGTGACAGGACTAATCTGTGTTCCACTTGGGCACGTAACCAATCTGTGGGAGCCAGAATTCTTGCTGGTTGGTAGGGGATCAAATACTTATTTTACTGACTGAAATGCAAGTCAATATATAACCTTTATATAGTGTGTTTTTTCTGGATTTTTTTGTTTATATTCTGTCTCTATCCGTAAAAATAAACCTACCATAAAAATGATAGACCCTTAATTTTTTTGTAAGTGGTCAAACTTACAAAATCAGCAGGGGATCAAATAATTATTTTCCCCACTGTATATATATATATATATATATCAAAAAGTCCTATACATTTTAAAGCCATAAATAAAAATATTAAAATCAGTAAACATGGCTGTCAGTATATCTCCTCTCTGAGTGTGTTAGAAATTAGCGAGGGTCATTTCCAGTAGCTGAAGGTCAGAAGTGACGGAGGGGGAGAGGCATGTGCGATAGGACAGAGAATCACGGATAAGGCCATAAAGATTCTCTATTCTTCCACTGCTGATGTTATCGCTTTGTCTCTTACATCCACACACGCGCTAAGCCTGTACCACACAGAGATGGTTTTAGTGAGCGTTCCCACATGAACCCTGTCATGAACTGATGCCCTTGGAATAATCAAAGGTCTGTGTCATCTTTCACAATACCAGCAACCTGAGGCCATAATGACTCTGTGCATCTCTTCAGGATAGAGAATATCTACTGTGCTGCTATGTGTAAGGACTTTACACATAGCAGCACAGTACTCTGACTTTCTTTCTTTCATGGTGCACAAAAAGATAAATTTAACAGAATCTTTTCCATACAATAAAAGTAAATGGTGACCAGAGGCTATCTAGCTAAAAAATGATTTAAAGCACCATGAAAGTGCTCCATATGTGCCATATTCCAAGTCTTGCCATAGCTTCTTTGTGAAAAGACATTTAAGTCATATTTAACTGCTAATCTCAAAATAAGTTGGCATATATTCAAATATGGTGTTCGAGCTAAAAAACATACCTTTTTAAGATTTAATATGTAAAAATTATTGTTAGTATTTATGTTCCATGTATTATGTATTATTTAGCTTATTTTTTATACATTATGTTTGTAGCACTATGTTTGTAGTATAAGAAAGGTGTATTATAAATAACGTTTATTTATTACATTTCTATGTTTAATAGCATTCTGCGGGGGTCTTTTAGTTACATTTTTTGGAATGAAATTGCAGACTGTTTTGTCTTCCTAACGCTAATTTGATATCTAGCACTTTATGTATCATAAATACAATTTAATAATAAAAGTTTATAATTTGAATAAAACTTTAAATAATTTAAAGTTTTTACACTTTAAAATATATTACCGCTTGGAAATGACACACAATAATCATATTATGATATCCAATGTTTAAACAAATGCACTAACTTTTGGAAGGAAAAAAAAAACTTTACTAGTATTGATGGAAATTTCCTTCTTTCCTTTATAGTGTACTGAATTTGTACTGAATCCAATTGTGTGTTTATGTGTGTGTTTTTCACAGGCTAGACAGTTGGAGGAGAGAGACAAAGAGCTCCGGAAGCAGGATGCCTTCTACAGAGAGCAAGTGGCCAAGCTGAAGGAAAGGGTATGACCTATACATTTGCAGTTACATTATCCACAATTCCTGAATATATAGCAATGAACACTAAAGCGCTGCATTATCACTAACACGGTATGATAACCGTAACGCTTGACAGTAACTCACTAATGCGCGGTGCAGAATGTGAGATGAGCTGTCCTGAGCTATAGAGGCAGAATGTGAGTCAGCCTGTCCTGTGTTATATAGAGGCAGAGGTGAGACAGGCTGTCTTGCTCTACAATACCATGGTGAGGCAGGCTGTCTTGATCTGTAATGTGCGGCTGAGGCCCCTCGGCAACCTTGCTCGCTCATTTGTTGTGTCCTCAATCTGACACCCTCCTGCAGCTCATGGTCAGATCCTCCTCTGAGCCTCTGGGATGGGAGGCGTCCACCTCTCCTCACCTCAGACTCTCTGTCCTCAAACGGACATACACATACTAAGCTCCCAGAAGGGGGTGTGAAAGTGTGCAAAAACGGTCCATCTCTGGTGATGAGCCATTTTAAAGTGTAGGTTATGTGTCCATAGGTGTTTAAACAGTTTAGCCCTTTGTTACCATATGTGACCTTGGACCACAAAACCAGTCTTAAGTCGCTGGGGTATATTTGTAGCAATAGCCAAAAATACATTGTATGGGTCAAAATTATTGATTTTTCTTTTATGCCAAAAATCATTAGGATATTAAATAAAGATCATGTTTGGTGCTCATTCAACTCATTTAATCTACAATTCACCTACTTTCGTATCACCTTTTAGGCCTTGTGGATTTACCTTTTAAAAGCATTTTAAGTTAGATTGTAAGAAAATAAGCTTTTCTTTTTAGTTTCTTTTTACAATAAATTATGACATTTACAAATTAATTACAAATTAATCCATTTATTTTGTAGCAATATTAAACTTTTGGCATATATACGCAACAGGAGAATTCTGTCTTACGTGTTTGTTTGTTTTCTTCTAAAATGTCATAAACACTCATAAATCTAAAATTATGTACTATTATTAATAGCATTCTGTGGTGGAAATGTTTATTTATTTATTTATTTTGGAACATAATGGTATATTCGTCTTGCAAATGACACCAATTTTTTTATGTATTTTACATTTAAAAGTCTGAAACAACTCTTTAAGGATAAAAAAAATATGACTTTTTGCAACAAACTAGCAGAGCACTTGCACTTAGCACAATTACATTACAGTACATGTTGTTGTCTAAATGCACAGTAAAATCAGTGCTGATCTGGACCAGTCTAGTCCTAAAAAGCTGCTAAAAAGCTTCCATTATGATTGATTTACTGTAACTGCTTTCTGTTTGTTTGAACACAATAAAAGGATGAGTCTGTGGTTATTGAAAGCATGCCACAAATGCAGTCCATTGACATTAGGTTAGAAAATAACCCGGAATATTATTTTAAAGCTCCATTTAAGTCAGTGATTAGACTTATCCTGTGTCCATGAAACTAGCTGATCTTGCACACGGCAGCTAGCTTTAGCCCAGTCTCTCTGTCTCTTTACAAGGACAGCTCTCAGACCATTTCAACTCTGCATGCGGAGTTATTGATCACTCGCAGCTTCATCAATCACTCAACGATCTCTGTTCAGTATTCCCGGCACTGTGTCAACATATTCACAAACACATACACAGACCTCAGCCCTTCTGAGAGAGACACACTCAGCTGGACACTAGTGTGTCTGAGCCCAATGGATTTGCGTATCAGGATTTGTTGGTTAGACATCATAAATAATAAATGTTCTGGGTTTTACCCAAGATATTGGCTTAGAAAAGATTAAGGACCATATATACAGTATATCATAGGATATTCTATATACAAGAACCATCATATGCAGATGAGTTAAAGTATGTGTTAATAATAATAATAATAGAAAATAAAAAAAATTATAAAATTTATATTTCATATAATAATATTTTTTGTTTTCAACAATGAAAATAAAAATAATTCATTAAAATAGTCAGAGATGTAATCGTATTATTCACTGAAAATGTTGACCTTTTAAAAAATGTATAAAAACAATTGTTGAATACGATTTTTATTTGTTTATTTAAAAATATTAATTATAAAATTATAAATTACATTATAAAATATACAAATATTAATAATAATAATAAAAATTATAATTCATTAAAATAAGTAGCCAAAGATGTGTTATTATTCGCTGCAAATGTTGACTTGTGGCCAAGTTGTCTTTGGTGTTTTAGTTTGAATTCGATGTCTTACCAATAGGCCAGAAAGAATTGTAAAATCATTTAATATGTTAACAGGTTTATCGGACCATTGTCAATCATAAAATCTTGCTGACAAAATTATGCAGTTTTAATTTGTCCTCAGATGCACTTAAATGGATTGAGTCTTACCTCACTGACCGTTCCCAACATGTCAGAGTCCAGTCATTTAAATCAGCGGCTCTCAGTCTGTCCACCGGTCTTCCTCAAAGATCAAATTTAGGACCTTTGTTGTTCTCACTTTTTATAAATGATCTTCCGTCTGTCTGTCCAGATGTTTCTGTGCAGATGTATGCTGATGACACTGTAGTCTATGTTCATGGTAGTGATATCTCTCAGGTAGCTGAGAAAATCACTAACTCCATGGTTTTTATTGTTATGTTAATATGTAATTTTACTCTCTTTTAGGGTGACTGTTACCATCTGTCTAGGGACTGCAGGTGAAAAATAGCCTTCTGGCTAATTCTGGCATATTGACAGAAATGTTTATTAATATGCATTGTCCCTGTAATAAAAATAAATAAATAAATAAATAAAAATAAAAAAATTCGTGACTCATTTAGGTGAGTTTTGTGAACCAGATTAATGGATTCATTTATTTAAAAAAATAAAGATTCATTAAATTGGTACTGATCAGCATGCCAAGGAGAGATACGACAGATATCAAGATATTCAGTAAATAATTACTTACATTTACATCCATTTCTCATAGAAATAGATTCAGGCGACTTGTAATATAGCATATGAGTCGTATGGAACAATTTTACAATACTTTAGGGAGCTTTGTGTCCTTTTTGTGGCCATTCGTTGTGTTTGCATGGAAAAGAGCAACCAGTATGTTCTTGAAAATCTTTCACGTAACAAAAAAGCAGTGGAAGAATGTGACAAAAAAAATGTTGTTTGAAGCAACTTCGCAAATCATTCTGGGAAGCAATAGATTGATTTTGAATATACAGTACCACATTATTATGGTGTTTTATATTTTACTGTTTCCTCCTGGTCTCTCCTCTCTTACTCCTTCTCTAGCCACTGGACTGTAACAGTACCAGTAGCGAAAAGGAAAAAGAGAGCGAATGAGAGATACAGAGAGAGAAGAGAATAAAACGCTGATAAATATTACATGTCTCTTTCAATTCAGTTTGCTCGTTTATCAGTGGCTTGTATCTGACAGCCCATCACAGCTCTGAGACGGTGGCTGCCACCTCCAGCCTGCTTGTTGGTGAGGCCACTCAAATTGCCTCTGAAACAATATCTATATATGTACTCTACGTATATATTCACCAGCGATTTTCACTCAATACTCTCTGTAAAACAATCTCATATTTCAACTGAGCGCTCTGTTTTTTTTTCACAAGTTTTTTTTTTTTTCCCCTCCTCAATCGTGTTATTGGTAGTTTTGTGTGTTTCTCGTAATGCTCCATGATCACAGTGGAGAGCTGAAGTCTGAGGTGTTGAAGAAAGCTGCTAATACAGTGTTTTTAGCCTGATTGATGGAATTTAAATGACCTCAAGGGCACTTGACTGCAGTGGCTTTGGCTGTATGTTTGCCTGCTCAGAATTCGAAGTTGTTCTTTTTTTCTTTAACACTTCTTTCTTTTTCTCATTGTTATGGTCTGGCTTGATAATGTGTAAGAAAATCATCATAACCTTGATCGCATACCAAGCCAATCAGTCTCAGTGATAAAATTCCCATAGTGCATTGCACCTGCAACACAATGTTATGAGATTTGGTTACAAAAATTGAGAATCTGTAATTCCGACTCTGCAATCCCAGTTCATAATAATTGAATTACATTTTTTATTTTATTTTGTTTTTGAAGATACAACAGCCCTTATTATAACAGTCTTAACTATATATACTAAACAAAAAAATGCAAAACAATATTTTGTTGTAATATTTTAACATTAATTTAAGAATCAATTAAACTTTTGTTGTACCACCAATTACAAAGCAAAACAAAACAAAACAAAAAAACTCTTTTCCAAATGTGAATCTGGTAGTAAAGTGTGTATTTTCTGGGATTACAAAATAAATTTTATGTGTAATTATATAATATTATTATTATTATGTAATAAAAGGTAAGCATTTTATTAATTGTAATTATTTTTGATTAAACTTTATTTTTAATAAATAAATAAACGTGTGTCCAACTGTGATCAGCTATAGTCATTTTGATCAGCTCAGCATGAAAAGAGCTTTCTTGGAGCATTTCAGTCCTTGGTAGTGCAACTGAAGCAAACAATCAACTGGCAAGGCACTGTCAGAAGATCTCGGGGATAAAGTTGTGGACAGGCACAAGTCAGGAGATGGATACAAAAAAATCTAGAGGCACAGTGAAGTCTGTTATTAAGAAGTGGAAGGTATTTGGTACAACACAGACCCTCCCTGGATCAGGACGTCGCCCCAAACTGGATGAAAGAGCCAGGGGAATGACTTGAAGACTGCAGTCCACAAACGGCCACCATCAAATTTAACTGAACTTGAGCATTTCTGCAAAAAGAGTGCGCAAATATTGCAAAGATGTGCAAAGCTAGTAGAGACAGAGACATATCCAAACAGACTAAAGGCTGTAATTAAAGCAAAAGGTGGTTCAACAAAATACTGACACAAAGGGGTGACTGTTTTTCCAACTCAGTGATTCGGATTTTTTTTTTTTCTGACATGTTGGTGTTAAATCTTTCACTTGGATGTTTTAAGTTGCACTGAGTAAAGTGCATGATGAAACAAAAACTGTTTCCGTCTTCATTTCAGGCTGCGAACAACAAAATGTGGTTATTTTATAAGGGGTGATTCTTTTCTATACCCATTGTATGTATTTTAAGCATAACACAGAAAACTGAAAAGCGATGTAAACTAGCTTGAAATACTTTTAGAAGGAGCGACTTCTCGTTATACCATCAGACAGAGAGCTCACATAAACATATCTGTCTTACTTACGATCCATTTCAGCCATTACTTCCAATTCATCCGCAAACTGTTGTTCAAAATCATCCTCAATCCCGTACATTTCATCATATTCATCCATGTTTGTGGTCTCTTGTATGTTTTGATAGACGAGCCCATGCCAAACATCATGACCGTTTACGCATCATTCAGACCAACTACAGAACAGTGAAAGAGCGGCTGAAGGAAGCTGAAGATTCCCATGACTTGTAAGTACTATTTAAAACTTGATATTTGCACATAATAATATTAGGGGTGGGGGAAAAATCGATACAGCATAGTATCGCGATATTTTCCGGCACATTCAATCACAACTGAGCTTTGCCTAAACGCACCTCGAAGATTCTGAGGCAGATGAGACAAAAATTGAATTATTTGGGCTCAACACCAAACGATATGTCTGACGGAAATCCAATACAGCTCACCATCCAAATAACAGCATTCCTACAGTAAAGCATGGAGGTGTAAATATCTTGTGATGGGGGTGTTTCTCTGCAGCAGGTACTGGAGCACTTCTCAGGATAGAAGGAAAAATGGATGGGGCAAAATCCCGTGAAATTCTTGAGGAAAATCTGCTGCCCTCTGCCAGAAAGTTGTCAATGGGAAGAAGGTTTACCTTCCAACATGACAATGACCCAAAGCACCGAGCAAAACTGACCTCACAGTGGTTTAAGGAGAAAAAGGTGAATGTCCTTGCATGGCCTAGTCAGAGCCCAGACTAAAACCCCAGTGAAAATCTGTGGAATGACTTGAAGACTGCAGTCCACAAACGGCCACCATCAAATTTAACTGAACTTGAGCATTTCTGCAAAAAGAGTGCGCAAATATTGCAAAGATGTGCAAAGCTAGTAGAGACAGAGACATATCCAAACAGACTAAAGGCTGTAATTAAAGCAAAAGGTGGTTCAACAAAATACTGACACAAAGGGGTGATACTTTATCCAACTCAGTGATTCTGTTTTTTTTGTTTTTTTTCTGACATGTTGGTGTTATATCTTTCACTTGGATGTAGTAAGTTGCACTGAGTAAATACAGCTGGATAAAACAAAAACATTTCAGGCTGCAAAGCAACAAAATGTGATTATTTTAAAGGGGGGTGATTCTTTTCTATACTCACTGTAAATCACACTTCACTGCATGGAAAACTCTGTTTCTGTTTCCTGTGCTTGCTGACAGCATTGTTAAGAGAAGAGAGTGTGTTGTTTTATTTGAGATCAGTGTGTGGTCATTATCTCTTCTTCACTGTAGACGAGACACTGGAAGGGGACAGTGTCTGTCTCTGCACGAGGCCTCGTTAATTTAATTAGCCGAGTTTTATCTAGACAAGAGACACAGCTTGAGCTTTACGTTCATACTCATGTCCCCTTGTTTTTACTTCCAGACAGCCAGAAGCATAGTAAAAATTTGAATACTTAAAAATGTATTATCATTTGTTCACCATCATGTCGTTTCAAACCCATATGGCATTCTGCACGAGTTGAAATGTCATCAATTTGTCACTCTAAAAATGTTTTCCATGCTTGGACTGGATGTTTTATGCAATGCTATTGAGTTACAGCATTTCTGGTTGTTTGGGACATTTCCACTCATCTGTTTTGTTTCACAGTCTCCCGCAGTAAGAGGCAGTGATGGAAGGATTGACTCCACAAGCCTCTGTTCTGCTTTCCTTCCCTGTTTGCAGTCGCCAGCTTTGATTTGTTAAAACTCGGTCACGCGCCTCCGCCGGTGCACTGCAGAGCCAATATGGCCGCCGTGCTGTTGAGCCATAATGGCTGTCTCAGCAGGGGTTTCCCTCCACATCCTCTCTGGTCTGTGAGAGATAACACAGCCTGCTGATTACTGCACCACTGCTCAGATATCTCATTATAAAGCCTGCGATATTTAATTTGAACATGGGGTTGTTTCTCAAAACACCACCTATATGCACCGTCAGTGGCAGGAGTAGCTTTTAGGAGGTTCTTTCTTTAGTCCATAACACCCCTGTGTGCACCAGATTAAATAAAGTTTTATTTTAAGATGCCTGTAAACAGAAGGTAAGAATGGAGTCTGACAGCTGCTTTGTGGAACAGGTAAAGGACTGGATTTTTTAGTGGTGCTTGCTAAGGCAATGAATGAAACGGTACCTCAAATCACGTGGCTTATTTTGACTTAAAAATTTTGAAAAATGGCAGGGTAATATAACTGCAACATCATAACATACAGTATATCATAGTTGAACCACGTGACTTTGTTGCACCACATGACTTTGATTGGCAGACAAAAGTGTTTTACTATCAAAACACTTTTGTCTGTTGGATCACATGACTTTGTTGGTCGTGCCACATGATTTTGATTTTTCAGGCAAAAGTGTTTCATTATTAAAACTTTTGTCTGTTGGACCACTTGACTTGTTGGTTGCACCACACAACTGATTTTGCAGACAAATGTGTTTTATCATTATTTCTTATACATATAAGAAGAAAGGGGAAAAAAAACACTTGCAAAATCAAAGGAGTTAGTTGAAAACATGACTTTGATTTTACAGATAGTGTTTTATTATATTTCTTAAATATATATAGGAAGAAATAAAACATTTTTGCTGCAAAATCAAGGCCTCTCTAAAAGATAGTTGGAACACATGACTTCGTTGGTCGTGCCACATGACTTTGATTTTGCAGAAAGTATATTAGAATAGAAAAAAAATAATAATAATTGTATATTAGATTTAAGTATATTAGAAGAAATAATAAAACTTGTTTGTAAAATCAAAGCCTCTTTATGATGTTAGAAGTTTGACTTTAAAAGTCATGTGGTGCAACCAGCAGAAGAGTGTTTAAATTTCATTATTTAAATATACAATAAATAATAATAAAACACTTTTGCAAAATAAAGTAATGTATTGCGACAAACAAATGCGTGTGGTCCAACAGATTAAACTGTTTAAATACTAAAACACTTTTGTCTGCAAAATCAAAGTCATGTGGTGTGACCAAAAAAGTCATGTGGTCCAACAGACAAAACTCTTTTAATGATAAAAGCAAAACATAAGACATTGTGTTTTAATAATAAAAGCAAAATCAAAGTCATGTGGTCGAACTAACTCATCAAAGAGATGACTTCTGCAAAAAAAATACAACAAAATAATAATTGTTAAAAAAAAAAAAAAAACCTTGAAAAAATATATTTTTTAACTTTTAAAACTTTTTTGGAAAATTATTCTCAAGATGTGTAAGATCAGGTTTTGTAATCATAATCTGATTACAGTCTACTCTTGCTATGGCAGATGAAGATGAGGGTTTAGGGTTTCGCGAGAGAGCATGTGGGTGGTAAAACGTTTGCTCTCAGATTGATGGAGTGGCCTCTAAATCAGTGTGGCCCAACTCTGAAATCAAAATCAGCAATAATCCCACTTTGTCATTAATCAAGGGAAATGGCAGACTTCCCAAATTACACCATTGCTCAGGTCATGGGGTTTTAGCGTGTGTGTGGAGGTCCGACTCACTTTCCACATAATCAATTTCTGTGCAGGCCAGCGCCCTCTGAGTGTGTAGCCCTGATTAGTACTGACTCCTCCCATCAGATCTGCATCATCACATCATGCTCTTTAAATCACTGCTGCTGTTCCCTAATATCAGGCCCCTCAGAGTCAAGCTTGTACCTGATGTCGTCTTTAACTCTCAACACTGTTGTTCCAATAATAAGCTTGATAGCAGACTTGTCAACGTCCACTCAGGGGGAAATAAATCATTATTTTGGAACTTTGCAACTGTGCAAGTTGGATTTTCAATGTCCTACGTCCAGTAGTGTAATACTGTGTAGTTCCACAAAGGGTCCAAATCAACACTTACAAGCGCCAAATGTTTTGCCTTGGCAAGAAAATGAAACCATTAGCATTTTTTTGCATTGCATTTTGCATTTTTTTTTTTTTTGCTTTACACCGTTTTTTAATCATTACATTTTTATGTTTTTATTTTTTTATTTTGCCTAAAATATTATTTTTTAAATATGTTTTATTAATAAAGTAAATAAATGTTAAATATAAAATTATAATACTTTTTTCTGACCAGTAAATATTATTAAGGATCTTTTATGGTAAATTATCTACCTACCAACCATTGGTATGTTTGGTAGGAAGCTGATTTTGGACAAATGATTTTTGCTTGACGTGCAGTCCATCAGAAGCTATACAGTAGCTTCACTAAAAGCCTAAGATATAATTATTGATCCTCATGGTTGTAGCCTTTCATTTGTATTGATTGTGTGTGTGTGAGATAGTGACTGAGAGATGAACCTGTCTCGCTTTGATTGAGAGCTCTCTTTATGGATGTAGCTTGAGCAAGTTTTTGTTGTCACATCCTCAAATTCAGTCATATATCTGACATTTGCCCATTTTCTTTGAAATGTCAGTTATTGTTTTGAATCATCTACAAACGCTGTATCAAGGTCCATTCCAGGTTGTAAGGATATTGTTTTTTGCCCGCCTACTCTTGACACGCTTCACTAAGAACCTCTTTTTTTATTTTGTCCCCTCTTTGAAATCTAAAAGCAAGCAAAACTCTTTGTGCTGCACGGACAACAAAAAATTCTTAATTTATATTTTAACTGAGTTTTTTTTTTCTGTTGTACTGGCAACGATTCTTCTGTTTAGAATTTTTGTGTGAGCTTTTTATAAAATGTACTCTTATCTACTCTTCATATTGGAGGAGACAACAGAGGGAATAAGAACACATACAATATTTAATTTTTGACACAAACTTTCTCTCTCCCTTCCTCAGAGTGCCCAGTTCTACAAGGTGACCAATGAAAACTATCACAAGGCAGCAGACGAGGTCAACGCCAAGTTCAAGTGAGTTCAGAATGACACACTCTGGCACTCATCATCTCAAAGTCCAAATACAGATATTCCACATGCTGTCATTCATTATTTTGTAAGCTTTATCTATGTGGGTCTATATGATTATTGTGCAACAGGTGTTTTTTGTTTTGTTTTGTTTTATTTATTTTGTGACATGTTTTGCATATGAACAGAACAATGGCATGAACATTAATGTTTTGTTGTTTTTCCTCTCTCTTAAGTATTATTATACATACACAATAATACAGATTACACACACTATAATACATATACAATAATTTCTTTTTTTAAAGACAAAAATTAACATTTTCATTATTTACTCGCCCTTATATCTCTTTTTTAAACTGTATGACTTACTTACTTCTGTGAAACACAGAAGAAGACATTTAGCCAAATGTCCAAGCTGCTCATTTCCATTGAAGTGAATGGAGACCAAGGGCACCATTATAAAACCAGCCCATATAAATCACGCGCTATATTCTTCTGAAGCCATATGGTAGCTTTGTGTGAGGAACAGAGCAAAATTTAAGTTGTTATTCACTAAGTCTTGTTTGACTAAAAATCTTCTTTGAGAAGAACTCTTATCTTAGACATTTTGCTATTAATAACTCCTTTTGTGTTTAAAAGGAAACATGTGAGGGTGAGTAAATGATGACCAGAATTTCATTTTTGGTCAAAATTTGAATCTACAATCCCTTTGAATCTACCAAAACTAAAAGATGTTTCCCTCATCTATTGTGACAAACTTCCAAGTCTTGTCATGAATGTGAAGTCTTAGCCATTAGGCTACTGTAGCTGGAAACATGTAACTGAACAGCTCTACAATTACAGGACATTTTGGCTCCATATGTCTTAATGTGGCCTATTAGCCCCAATAGTAATGTATGTTGGTTAAGGGGAAGAGAAGGGAGGCCAGCCTGTTTCAGGACTATCCTGCGCTCATAAATCGCATTAGGCTGTCATTATCCCTCTTCCTCAGTGCCAACACAGGGATCATCGTCTCTTTAGAAATGTCAGAAATTGATTTGTGGTGTCCAGTGAGGCAGAATCAGAGTCGGGAGGGGGGAGGTTGCACAGCTAATGCTAAATTGCATTAAGAAATGCATTCAAATAGCATTAGCCTGACATGGTTCTTCGCACAGGCCTGGGCCGGGGTGTCATGTGACCAGCGAGGCCACAGTGGATGCTGTGATTGGCTGATTGCATTAGAAAGGTGCATTAGCAGTGCTGTGATTGGATTACGGGATGGAGGGAGGAGAGCGTGTGAGAGGGTTTTTTTCTGTGTAATGAAATGTCTTCAGGGTCTGATGTTACACGAGGAAAGATGCAAGCTTTACTGACTGCAAGAATAATGAGGTTTAACTGAATGTGTGTGAGAAAGAAGGAAAGAAACTGCAAAGTCTCTGTAATATATGAATGATGGGCCACAGTTGTGTGTGTGTGTGTGTGTGTTTAGGTTCTACATTAGAAACACATCTATCTGTATTGCTTTTCCCAAATGGATATTCCAACACTATTCGCCCTCTAAAGGGAAAGCAGGTGATAAGATACTATCAGGAATTGGGCTGGGTAATAAGAATGAAGTATATTTTGTCCGAGCCTTTTGATTTCCTGAAAGATGAAACTGCCCTAGAGATGGAGATCCAAATCTACATAAATGATGGAATTACCATAAGTTTGATATGATAATCTTTTGTTTGAAGTTGTAAATGGTTGTCTCTTCAATGTCTTCATTCTCTTAGTAGCTGAAAGCTTTTGATGTGCATGTGGGTTTGGCTTCTGGAAAATCAGTCTGGTATAATTGCTTTCCGATGCATGTGTATTTGTATAATAACGTACCCATTTGATTTATTTTTATTTACTTGTATTTTGTCATACTGTATTTAACCCTCTTTTATCATATTTTAATCTGTTTTTTTCTGAATAAGAGGGCAATGCCATGAACTTTTGCCATGATTTTATTTTAAGCATTGGTGAAATTTATGTATAAATGTTTCTCTCCAAAATGTTGGTTTTAGTGGTGTAGAAACTAATTTGTTGTCAACATGGAATGACATGGAATGAATCTTAGAGCTAGTGATGTTCATAACCATTAGTAGACCAAACAAAACTGGGAGCCCCTTGAAACAGCAATACAGTGACAAAGTGGTAGTTAGGGTTGGAATGACATTTATCAACCAGTGGGCTAGAGATATGGTTTAATGTTAAGAATTTGAACCAGTAAGATGGGTAAAAGTAGAGTTTAGGATGCAGGGTTGAGGGATGGGGTTTGAGGCCAAGGTTAAGTGAGGATTGAGATGTTAAGAATGAGGTTAGTTGCTGAAAAAGAGAGGTTAGGATTTAGGGTAAACATTTAGGAGAGGTTTGGGCTGGATTGGGAAGGGTTAGGAATAGGGCTGCAACAACTAATCGATAAAATCGATTATTATCGATTATGAAAATCATCAACAACGATTCTCATTATCGATTAATCGGGACTGCCCACAGTGCACGTCCAACGGAGTCAGACAGACGGAAAACAGAGACAATTAATAATCAGCTCAAAAACATGTATTGTTTGATCATCTGTTGTTGAAAGTTAAATTAAAGGTTTAAAGGTCAACATGCATTGCGCATATTTTATGAGAGTAGGAACTGTAAGGAGAAGAACAATAATCGACCAACTAATCGATTATCAAAATAATCGTTAGTTGCAGCCCTAGTTAGGAATAGGGGTTGGAATTAGAGATATGGGATAAGGTTAGGGCTATGATTGGTTAATAGGAATGTTGTTCTTGGATCAACAGACATTTTCAATCAGAGGATGTTTAAAGTATGGCCACATACATACTGCAGCTAAATTTGGTTATCAGTTCACCTTTTAGTGCCTAATCCTGTTCTGTTCACAGACAGTTCAGCAATTTACTGGAGTGACAACCGCATTTTACAACCAATTTAACTCCTGAAAAATTCAGGTAGTGACATTTACAGAAATTCTGTGCAGTGTGTGTAGAAACAAACTGAACAGCTAGCTGTTAATGACGTATTTAAACATGTATAAGGGCTTTGGTGCAAGAAATCGCAGGGAATGAGGTGCATCTTGACTCATTATTTTACTTGCTATAAAAGAATGGCAAATAAGTACAAGCCTATAATAAATTTAAATCCAAATGCGTTATCTTGTCAATGGTTGTTTAGTTAAAATCGGCAAACATAAGTCTTTGGTCACTGTAATATTGCTTTGGTCTAAAATAGTGGATACCAAACATGCAAGATGCTAGATCGTTGCTATGGTTACCGTGGTGTCCCAATTTCGAGAGTGAGTTCTATTTCGTACACATATAAAATGATAATTTAGAGGATTCACTCCCCTATCCCGGTTGTCACTTCTGAAACTTTATAGTGTGTGCGTGGCCCATGTGTATTGTACAGATATGTACATGTTCATACATGCACACAAATGTATGCATTCAGTGCTGTTCACACACACACACACAAACTTCTGTTCCTCACAGACTTATGCACACACACACAGCCTGTCAAGCTATGCAGCCGTGGATGCTGGATGAATTACAGATAAATGCTTGAGTGGAAGAGTGTGATGTTTTCTCCAGCCACCTGTCAGTGCTGACCTTTGCCCTATCCCTGTGATGCTGTGTTTAAGCATGCACTGTGTGTTTGTCTTGTGTCCCCAGGGGGTTGCCGTTCTCTGTCACACCGAAGCAGTTTCACAGCGTTGACCTCTCCCTATGTTCTGCTATCTTCTGTACTCTGAATGGGTGTAGATGTCTCTGCTCACCTATAAAATTCAAATATCAACTGAAAACCAATAAGGTACCTATATATTGTGCATTCCTAGCACCTGCTTTTGCATTCATTCATAAAGGTTATTTCTGACCCTCCATGAGACTGTGTATTGCCATTCGCATTCGTGTCTCCTTGGAAAAACCCCATCATACACTGCAAGATCTTAGACTCTAATAGGCTTCTCTTTAGAAGAAATAACTCCTCTTAAAAGGCCATGAAGTTTGACTGCCTATTGAAGCACAGCTTGACCTGTCTCAGAGAACACAATTATAGCTATTACAACGAAATCAAAGTGAACGGCAGTAGACCAGCCATAATATTTAAGCTAAATGTTCTGTTTTAAAAGAGGTCATTCTATGGCTTAACGGCAAAGAATATCAACGTAGAGTTAATGGTTTTCTCACTCAACAAGAAAAGCTCCACACACACACACACACACACACAGTTATGTCTGGTACTGCCACAGGTTATCAAACCCTCGTCATATTTAAAGTGTCTCTCCAGACTGCAGGCAGGCCACTTTTAGCTCTGTTACATCTTTACCGCATCTGGGATTACCTATATATCATTCTCTCATCTTCTCTCTCACCCCTTCATCTTTTTGTTTTGCCTTTCTCACCCTGGCATCAGACCTCTGCTCATCTTCTCCGTCACTTCTGAAACTTTATAGTGTGTGCGTGGCCCATGTGTATTGTACAGATATGTACATGTTCATACATGCACACAAATGTATGCATTCAGTGCTGTTCACACACACACACACAAACTTCTGTTCCTCACAGACTTATGCACACACACACAGCCTGTCAAGCTATGCAGCCGTGGATGCTGGATGAATTACAGATAAATGCTTGAGTGGAAGAGTGTGATGTTTTCTCCAGCCACCTGTCAGTGCTGACCTTTGCCCTATCCCTGTGATGCTGTGTTTAAGCATGCACTGTGTGTTTGTCTTGTGTCCCCAGGGGGTTGCCGTTCTCTGTCACACCGAAGCAGTTTCACAGCGTTGACCTCTCCCTATGTTCTGCTATCTTCTGTACTCTGAATGGGTGTAGATGTCTCTGCTCACCCAGTTTAGTCGCCCATTAACGTGTCCTGTTTGGGTCAAATGGCACTTGTTGGAATTATTGTCCCAATGCGCTACACCACAGTTTAACATGATCATCACTCTGATTTTAATGAATAGTTAAACCAAGTATGGACTAAGG